GGCCACACACTGTACAAATCACGGAGAGAAGACAAAGAGAAATAACAACTCATTCCATCTTTATCCTCCAGCACACCGTATATATGCGCAAACCGTCGACACGTTTCGACCCAGGCGCATACTGGGTCTCTTCAGGAGGTTACTGAGGACATGGTCATCCCTCACTTCTATCTGTACTATGACCAACAGTGATCGCCACCCTTATGTCTGTCTCACCCATCTCCTTCCTTTCCCCTTATGTCACCCCTTCTCGCCCTCACCCGCATGCTTGTCTCATGCGCAGTGGTATTCAGAAGCCCTCACTCTCACCCCCGAGACTTGCTTTGGAAATATGAGTGTTCTGCTCTGAATGGTGCATCCACTCTCATCTTCTTCTTTTTCTGACCGGCCGATGGTTGTCTCACTGCCCCATGTTGGATCGGTTGTCCCTGGTTCACAATTTGGGCCCCAAAGCTTTGTCCCACAGCCGATGGGTGCCTAATATCCAGTTGGGATTTCCAGATGCAAAGTTGCATGTTTCGGCGCCAGATATCACGGCATATATGTATTGCTGGAGAAGTTGAAGTCCGTGCCCAAAAACTCGCGAGTTACATCGTGTAAGATGTTCCTATTTTCCGCATGAAAAACCTGAAAATTTTCAAAAAACACAGATCTTTCATTTAGCGGAGAAAACAGGTGATCTGATAATCACGAGATACCGGGCGGATTGATAAAAAAAGTCAGATTATGTGGGTCCTTTTTTTTTTTTTTTTTTTTTTTTTAACGGAACGTTTGTGTTCCGGCCCCTTTTCCATTCTGGGGGGCATCAGTTCGGTTCCTATTCCACCGGCAAGTCAAAAGGGATTACAACATAAAACTTACTCGCCCACCTCCCCCTCATGGTGTGGAGGCCCGAAGGACGGCATTGATTACCTCCCGAAGGAGGGATGTACCTCCCTTCACCCCTGCCTAAGTTAGCCTGTTCTTATGCTTCTGATTGTCGCCTATTCTAGGGTCAGAAGCCTGTAGCCTCGTTGGTTCCCTTTACCCAATTTGTCTAAACTGTGAATCCCTGTGTGAGCCTCATAATGATTCTGTTAATCTCACCTTGTTGCCCTGATTCTGTCCGAACCCTAAACCCTAAACCCTCAATTAAAACTCCAACTCTTTTCAGAGCATTCCTTGGGCTTCTCTCCAGATGCTGAGCCTGTCCGCCTGCGGTGGCTGTGTAGGGCCTTGAACGCGTGGTGTCTGAAAAACCTGTCTTCTCTCATCTGCTTCCAATTTGTGTCGGTCTTTCCCTTGAATGCAGCAGTCCCCCGGCTCTACCACTTTGCCCCCATCCCTCTCTGTTTGATTCTCGGATTTTTGTTTATCGCCTCTGCACTTTCCCTTGCAAGGTCAGCGCCTTCCTTAGATCTGAATCAGATCTTTGCCTTCCGGATGGGTCATAACTCCTCCTTTCTGGCCGAACCAGTCCCTAGGCTGTGTTGGGTCTTGATCGCTTCGTGTCTGGAACGTCTGTCTTCTCCTTTCTGTTATTGAATTGGGCCGGTCTTTATCTTGTGTGCAAAAATCCTCCGTCCCTTCCACTTTAACTCCATCACTCTCTGCCCGATTTCCTGATTTTTTGTTATCGTCTCTGCGCTCTCCCCGGCGAAATCGAAGTCCTCCTCGGTTCTGAATCAGAACTTGCCTTCCGGACGGATCGTGGCTCCTCCTTTCTGAACGCTCTGGGCTTTCCTGCTTAGCACTTGGGGTGGGAGGTTAGATTGAGGGTGGGCCTGGGGTTAGGAGTTCTGGGTATGGGTTCTGGGATGTTATAGTGGATCTCGTGGGGTTAAGGTGCATAAGGGTTGGGAGGGGATGATGTTAGGGTGGAGGGGATCCGGAGTTTGGATCTTTGGTTTATAACCAGTTTTTGAATTGGATTTTGCCCTTCACTATCTCTGCAATTCTGTTTTTGCTAAGCCAGGTTCTTTCAAAGTTCCTTTGGCTCATTTCGCGCTTCTCTGGTTGGAGGATTTTTTGCTGCGCTTTTTGTTCCCTGCTCCATTGAGCTCTTATCTCTGTTTGAATTATGGTTTTGGTTTCAGTCCACTTCTCTTCCACGCCGGTCTTTTGACCGGTCAAAGTGCCTTTGCACCTCGCTTTCCAGTTTACCCACAGGGTCGTTTTTCCCCATAGGTTCCTGCAGTGCTTCATGCAGGTAACCTGTATAAGCAGTTGATCTGGACCATCCGTCAGTACTTTTCAAAACATGATTATCGAATTCCTACATAATTCCCTCGGCTGAGTATCGGTGCCCACAAGCGTGTTCGAGTTCAGGTTCCTGCAGTGCTTCATGCAGGTAACCTGTACAAGTAGTTGATCTGGACCATCCATCAGTACTTTTCAAAACGTGATTATCAAATTCCTACATAAATCCCTCGGCTTAGTATCGGTGCCCACAAAATCTGACACATAGATCTAAGGGAAAAGCCGATCGAATGCTTCAAAAGGATCTGCATCTAATTCATCAGAAGTATTGGGGCAGAGGTTACACTGTTGCGTTCACAGATTTTGCAGAGAAAACAAAACAAAGAAACAAAGATGGTGAGCGGAGTGGAGCAGGGCGCAAGCGCCGTACGGTGAGTGCGAATGCGACTGACGCAGCGCCGCAACGCGGAAGTGCCGCAGGACAATTCTCGCCGCGTGGTGCCTCAACCGCAAACTGTTACATACTTCAATGAGTATGGGCAGAACCAAAGATCAACCAATATAGGATGAGCATTTATGCAGCGGAAGTCTGATAACGAACTGACTCACATAGACTGACTCACACCAACTGACTTACATGGCATCACTCCACACACATACAATCATGAGATGGTGGGGTCTGGGTCATTCATAGACGATACCCAGATCCCGTACACACATACACAGATGAAAG